GATGGAAAGCGCAATGCCTGCACTCTGAAGGAGGGATGGTGATATTTGTAATTTTGAACTGTAGCATTGGCACTCCTCTTCCAAGACAGTGATGGAATGAGTGATGGGGGAAAGTGTTTCTTCTCTTTTGGGTCACCCTGCCTGGGTGGGATATGGCTGGTTCATTAAAAAAAAAAAACACGTGTAGATCAAGTGTTTACACTGAAGCATATATGTGAATAGTATCTAGATAAAGGTAGGGAAGTTTTTATTGCATTTATGGATTTAGAAAAGACACATGATAGAGTGGATAGGGAAGCAATGTGGCAGATGTTGCAAGTATATGGAATAGGTATTAAGTTACTAAATGCTGTAAAGAGTTTTTATGAGGATAGTGAGGCTCAGGTTAGGGTGTGGAGAAGAGAGGGAGACTACTTCCCAGTAAAAGCAGGTCGACAGGGATGCGCAATGTCACCATGGTTGTTTAATATATTTATAGATAGGGTTGTAAAAGAAGTAAATGCTAGGGTGTTCAGGAGAGGGGTGGGATTAAATTATGGGGAATCAAATTCAAAATGGGAATTGACACAGTTACTTTTTTGCTGATGATACTGTGCTTATGGGAGATTCTAAAGAAAAATTGCAAAGGTTAGTAGATGAGTTTGGGAGTGTGTGTAAAGGTAGAAAGTTGAAAGTGATGAGGGTATCAAATGATTTAGATGAAGTACTGAATATCAAATTGGGGAGGAGGAGTATGGAAGAAGTGAATGTTTTCAGATATTTGGGAGTTGACGTGTCGGCGGATGGATTTATGAAGGATGAGGTTAATCATAGAATTGATGAGGTAAAAAAGGTGAGTGGTGCGTTGAGGTATATGTGGAGACAAAATACGTTATCTATAGAGGCAAAGAAGGAAATGTATGAAAGTATAGTATTACCAACACTCTTATATGGGTGTGAAGCTTGGGTTGTGAATGCAGCAGTGAGGAGACGGTTGGAGGCAGTGGAGATGTCCTGTCTAAGGGCAATGTGTGGTGTGAATATTATGCAGAAAATTTGGAGTGTGGAAATTAGAAGAAGGTGTAGAGTTAATAAAAGTACTAGTTAGAGGGCTGAAGAGGGGGGTTGTTGAGGTGGTTTGGTCATTTAGAGAGAATGGATCAAAGTAGAATGACATGGAGAGGGTATAAATCTGTAGGGGAAGGAAGGCGGGGTAGGGGTTGTCCTCGAAGAGGTTGGAGGGAGGGGGTAAAGGAGGTTTTGTGGGTGAGGGGCTTGGACTTCCAGCAAGCATGCATGAGCATGTTAGATAGGAGTGAATGGAGACGAATGGTATTTGGGACATGACGAGCTGTTGGAGTGTGAGCAGGGTAATATTTAGTGAAGGGATTCAGGAAAACTAGTTATTTTTATATAGCCAGACTTGAGTCCTGGAAATGGGAAGTACAATGCCTGCACTTTAAAGGAGGGGTTTGGGATACTGGCAGTTTGAAAGGATATGTTGTGTATCTTTATACGTATATGCATCTATACTGTTGTATTCTGATCACCACTGCAAAAACAGTGATTATGTGTGAGTGAGGTGAAAGTGTTGAATGATAATGAAAGTATTTTCTTTTTGGGGACTTTCTTTCTTTTTTGGGTCACCCTGCCTCGGTGGGAGACGGCCGACTTGTTGAAAAAAATATACCTGTGTGTGTGTGTGTGTGTATATATATATATATGAGGGTCCCTATAACAGTTCTAGAGGTGGTACCTCCCTATATTTTATATATATATATATATATATATATATATAATATATATATATATATATATATATATATATATATATATATATAAATATATATATATAATATATATATGTATATATGTATATATATACACACACACACACACACATACATACATACATACATTCATACATACAGTATCTCCAATTAAACCATAGTAAATGATACAGTGTAATTGTATTACATGTCCATTAATTCATTTGTGCTGTTTTTCTTTTCACTGTAAATCGAGCAATTTCTTTCACACGATACATCACAATATAAAAATTATTAAAAGATATGCCAAACTACTGAAGTAAAAAAGGCATATGACATACATTTTAAAAGAGAACTTTTAAAATTCCAAAAATTTGATTTGCAACTATTTTCAAAGGAGTATATAGAGTCCAACTATCTTTTGACATATCTTAGACAATCAAGAGCATTATATATATTTAACAAATATATCTGAGTGTTAATTATATGTCATTATGTATAATTAATACAAAATTAAATATGTACATAAATGCTATTAGTATATTGCAAAACCTCAATGATGAAGGCAAATATATTAAGTTTAAAAACTGAGGAACAATTGTACATCCTGACTTAAGGTGATTGATAGTTGTAGAATGATCAATGATGTGTTGTAGCATGACTAATGTTATATAATGGTGTTGTAACATGACTAATGTTATGATGTAATGTGTTGTAGCATGACTAATGTTATGGTATAATGTGTTGTAGCATGACTAATGTTATGATATAATGGTGTTGTAGCATGACTAATGTTATGATATAATGGTGTTGTAGCATGACTAATGTTATGATATAATGGTGTTGTAGCATGACTAATGTTATGATATAATGTGTTGTAGCATGACTAATGTTATGGTATAATGTGTTGTAGCATGACTAATGTTATGATATAATGTGTTGTAGCATGACTAATGTTATGATATAATGGTGTTGTAGCATGACTAATGTTATGATATAATGGTGTTGTAGCATGACTAATGTTATGATATAATGGTGTTGTAGCATGACTAATGTTATGATATAATGTGTTGTAGCATGACTAATGTTATGATATAATGTGTTGTAGCATGACTAATGTTATGATATAATGGTGTTGTAACATGACTAATGTTATGATGTAATGTGTTGTAGCATGACTAATGTTATGATATAATGGTGTTGTAGCATGACTAATGTTATGATATAATGGTGTTGTAGCATGACTAATGTTATGATATAATGTGTTGTAGCATGACTAATGTTATGATATAATGGTGTTGTAGCATGACTAATGTTATGATATAATGGTGTTGTAGCATGACTAATGTTATGATATAATGTTGTAGCATGACTAATGTTATGATATAATGTGTTGTAGCATGACTAATGTTATGATATAATGGTGTTGTAGCATGACTAATGTTATGATATAATGGTGTTGTAGCATGACTAATGTTATGATATAATGTGTTGTAGCATGACTAATGTTATATAATGGTGTTGTAACATGACTAATGTTATGATGTAATGTGTTGTAGCATGACTAATGTTATGATATAATGGTGTTGTAGCATGACTAATGTTATGATATAATGGTGTTGTAGCATGACTAATGTTATGATATAATGGTGTTGTAGCATGACTAATGTTATGATATAATGGTGTTGTAGCATGACTAATGTTATGATATAATGTGTTGTAGCATGACTAATGTTATGATATAATGGTGTTGTAACATGACTAATGTTATGATATAATGTGTTGTAGCATGACTAATGTTATGTATAATGGGTGTTGTAGCATGACTAATGTTATGATATAATGTGTTGTAGCATGACTATTTTATGTATAATGTGTGTAGCATGACAATGTTATGAATAATGTGTTGTAGCATGACTAATGTTTATGATATAATGTGTTGTAGCATGACTAATGTTATGATATAATGGTGTTGTAGCATGACTAATGTTACGATGTAATGTGTTGTAGCATGACTAATGTTATGGTATAATGTGTTGTAGCATGACTGTTATGGTATAATGGTGTTGTAGCATGACTAATGTTATGATATAATGTGTTGTAGCATGACTAATGTTATGATGTAATGTGTTGTAGCATGACTAATGTTATGATATAATGTGTTGTAGCATGACTAATGTTATGATATAATGGTGTTGTAACATGACTAATGTTATGATATAATGTGTTGTAACATGACTAATGTTATGATATAATGTGTTGTAGCATGACTAATGTTATGATATAATGTGTTGTAGCATGACTAATGTTATGATATAATGTGTTGTAACATGACTAATGTTATGATTAATGTGTTGTACATGACTAATGTATATATAATGGTGTTGTAGCATGACTAATGTTATGATATAATGTGTTGTAGCATGACTAATGTTATGATGTAATGTGTTGTAGCATGACTAATGTTATGATATAATGGTGTTGTAGCATGACTAATGTTATGGTATAATGTGTTGTAACATGACTAATGTTATATAATGGTGTTGTAGCATGACTAATGTTATGATATAATGGTGTTGTAGCATGACTAATGTTATGGTATAATGTGTTGTAACATGACTAATGTTATATAATGGTGTTGTAGCATGACTAATGTTATGATATAATGTGTTGTAACATGACTAATGTTATGATATAATGTGTTGTAGCATGACTAATGTTATGATATAATGGTGTTGTAGCATGACTAATGTTATGATATAATGTGTTGTAGCATGACTAATGTTATGATATAATGTGTTGTAGCATGAATAATGTTATGATTAATGTGTTGTAGCATGACTAATGTTTATATAATGTGTTGTAACATGACTAATGTTTATGATATAATGTGTTGTAGCATGACTAATGTTATGATATAATGGTTTGTAGCATGACTAATGTTATGATATAATGTGTTGTAGCATGACTAATGTTATGATATAATGTGTTGTTTGCATGACTAATGTTATGATATAATGTGTTGTAGCATGACTAATGTTATGATATAATGTGTTGTAGCATGACTAATGTTATGTATAATGTGTTGTAACATGACTAATGTATGATATAATTGTGTTGTGCATGACTAATGTTATGATATAATGTTTGTAGCATGACTAATTTATGATATAATGTGTTCGTAGCATGACTAATGTTATGATATAATGTGTTTGTAGCATGACTAATTTATGATATAATGTGTTGTAACATGACTAATGTTATGATATAATGTGTTGTAGCATGACTAATGTTATGATATAATGGTGTTGTAGCATGACTAATGTTATGATATAATGTGTTGTAGCATGACTAATGTTATGATATAATGTGTTGTAACATGACTAATGTTATGATATAATGTGTTGTAGCATGACTAATGTTATGGTATAATGGTGTTGTAACATGACTAATGTTATGGTATAATGGTGTTGTAACATGACTAATGTTATGGTATAATGGTGTTGTAACATGACTAATGTTATGATATAATGGTGTTGTAACATGACTAATGTTATGATATAATGTGTTGTAACATGACTAATGTTATGGTATAATGGTGTTGTAACATGACTAATGTTATGGTATAATGGTGTTGTAACATGACTAATGTTATGATATAATGGTGTTGTAACATGACTAATGTTATGGTATAATGGTGTTGTAACATGACTAATGGTACAATATTCTGGAGGTATAAGTAATGAGGATGATGGCAACAGTAAACAGCATGGTAATATGAACACCACTGGACCTGCCGCTGCTAAAATACAACACTCAGGTTGATAACAGAAGTTTTCCCTTGAAATGCAAATTTTTTCATTATCAAAATTTTAGATGTAACTAAAATGTTAAATTATTTTGTATGTCTTCCTATAAAATATACCTCTCCATAATTGTAATTACTATGTATGCTTCTTAGAAAGAAAGATTTTGAGTTTATTTTGATTTTAAAAAGAAGCTATAGTACCTAAAACCAACAGCACTATTCCTCTTACTGACTAAATAGCAAAAAAATAAAAATAAATAAATATATTATTGTACTGTATTTGTGAGGATGCACTAAACCCAGAAGGTCATGCAGCACCTGAGTAATGAGAGGTAATTATGTTTGATCCAAAGAAGTGGAGGGTAGCTCTAATTCCTTGGATCCCATTATAATTTTACTTACGAGACCCCTTGAAGGGTCTTGACAGCCTTTCATAAGCAATATTATAATGAGTTGTTGATCAAAATATGAAATAAAAAGTAACCTTGTCTGCCACTTCCTCATTAAAAATCCTCTGACAGACAATGAACACTATTGGATTGTGCTGGAAGTGGTGACCTTTGGCAGCTCTGCAAATGTTTCTTGGTGTGACTGTCACTATTAATGCCACTAGGATGATGTAAGACCAGTCTCTTTAAACATGCTAGTGTTTTATCATAAACTAAAAAAAAAAAAAAAAAATTTTGACAAACTAGGACATTACCAAAATTTTAGCTGATACCAATATTGATACTAAATTTTAGACCTACATCAATACCACCAAAATTAACTCAATATTAGCAATGATACTCTGGCACACACCTAAAACAGATACATCTTATTACACAAAGAATTGACACATTTGCAGTTTTCAATATTCATGCATACAGATTAATTCCTGTGGTGAAAATTTTTTTCCTTCAGGTCAGCCTACCTCGGGAGACGGCTAGTGCGTAAAAAAAAAAAAAAACTAATATACTGATAAGAAAATAACTTGAGAAATTTATTACTAAAAATTATTTCTATATGAATGTTTACAATGCTCTTATCTACAGATCAACATTTAAGAAATTAATTGATTTCAAGCTGCTCTGTTCATAGGTGCAGATCAGTGAAAGTTGAGACCCTACTGTAGTTACTGGAGAAAGACTGGGAAATTCTGGAATCATAACCTACATGTTTGAGGTATGCCAATACTAGCCAGGACACCAAATGGTTACCACCTTTGGAAAATTTGCATGCAAATGCTAGGTAAGTATTTCAAAGCAGGACATTGTTGACTAAATCCAGATAATCAGTAGATTCATATAATGGGTATTGTAATACCATACTGTTTGCTATAGTAACAACAACAGTGGTGGTGGTGGTGGTGGTGGTGGTGGTGGTGGTTGTAGGGTGGGTTACAGTTGTGTTTGTGGCTGTGACTGTAGTAGTGGTGGTGGTAAAAGTGATGGTGGTTTGTGACTGGTGCAAAATATTTGTAGTAGTAATAGATGTGATAAGCCAAGGTATCATGAGAAACAATCTAACAGCCAGTATTAACTGGCTCATCTAAAATTTGGCCAAATTAAACTTGTCCTCTAGAACAAAAATCTTAATATATATATATATACAACAAATAAACTGTTACCCTGATCTTAGCTGAGTTCAAATATGAGTAATTCACAATGCAACAGCTATTGTTTTTATGATTTGTTCACGGACATATTAAGTTACAAAAGCCTTATTAGTCATATATGACCCATTTGAGTAATACAGGGCCAATATAGGCTCTTTAACCTCATGCAAATTTATATTTGGTCAAGTACACCCTGTACACACACAAATGTTACAATTACAACTCTGGGTAATGGTATCAGTGATGGCAATGATAATATGACTAGTGTTTTGCATGATGGAGGACTGCTTATGATGAGAGATGATAGCATCACAGCACCTATGTGATAGTCATGCTGAAGATGACACATGGTGTGATAGTCATGTTGAAAGTGACACAGTGGTGTGATAGTCATGTCAGAGATGACAATGATGGTGTTGATAGTGATGTTGGAGATGATACGATGATGGTGTGACAGTGATGTTGGAGATGACATAATGATGGTGTGATAGTCATGTTGGAGATATCTTGCGTTTTTAGACAGAGCTTGTAATCTCGGCTTATAAAGCAATTATCATTATGCCAAACAAGTATATATTTATTATGTCAATAATTCCACAGAAATCAATCTGAACATTACCAAATAAATATATTTTACTCAGGTTAAATAATAACTAAATTTAAATTGGCATAAGATACATTGGCTGTGAATAATGTAAATTACATTATGCTAATTTTAGCACTAGTAGTGGGAGGTCACTAAGTTAATTTTGAATAAAAAATAAAAATTTATATACACTTAACTTACAAAAATATATCTAGCAATAAAGAAAATAATTTATTTAAAAGATCTATTTTCAGGGCACTTTGACTTGTCTGATGGACTCTGCCTAAAAAGGGCAAGATATACAATGACGGTACACTAGTACACTCTTAATATGATATATCTTGAAACTCATGCAGTGCACTGCCTCTTATTGCCTTCAACTGATGTTTGTTTGGTCCAACATTTCTTTCCAATTTGTATGAGCAAAAAAACAGTAGGTTCAGTGGCAATGGCACTAATGTTAATGTTGCAATGGCTATGCAACCTTTTTGTTGCAGCACGGAAATCTGTGATGCTATAGTTATAGTCCGATCACTTGCTTGCAACACTGGCAGTCTGTGATGCTGCAATTATATATAACACTGCTTGCTTGCAACACTGGCAGTTTGTGACCTAAAACAGCTGTACTGATGTAACTGCCGACATTTCATAAGTCTATTAGTCATGTCAGATTCAGAAGTTTTCCTGCAGATACAGAGGCTCTGCCAATGGATGCAAAAGACATATTGCTGACAATAGTGAAGAAAGGACACATTATAGAACAAGGTTTATTATGGCAGTGTTTCACTCTGTCTGTGTAACACTTGAACAATTCATAATAAAGTGAAACAACAAAAGCTTGTTCTGCAACTTGTGTCTTTTCTTCACAACACTGCCATCGTTAACAATTGATAATGAAGTACATAATGCATGAAAATGAAGATGATATAAATAAGTGCAAACTCTTCTTTGACTAAGCACACAATATTATTTTGAGTATCAAGTTACTCAGCTCACAATTACCATATACCCAGAGAGCAGCTTCTGAAAAAGTTATGCAATTTTCTTTTGAAAAAATTGCTTTCTCTCTTTACCTAAATAAGCTGACTGCATAACACAACTTCTACAGGGCAGATGCTAATCAAGCAATGGGTATGTGGACAAGGACACATGTGCACAGAAAAACCCCTCATATATGAACAAAACACTGTTCCAGTGAAGGTGTGCTCTGCATTCCTGTATTTTTGTTCACAAGTGAGCTACTTGTCAAGATAGCTTTGCAACTCAAAATACATAATAAAGCAAGGAACACCAGCCCTTGTATATGGAGCAGTGTGTGTTGCGGACTAGACAGAAAGAAGTTATCAACAGTAACCCACCTCACTCCCTACCCTAATCATTAAATGCACTATTCATCCTTAAAAAAAAAATATATATGTACAGCAGGTCAAATATTTTACTATTTTTTCTATCACAAGCTTTACACTTCTATGGGATATATACACCAGACCAAAATTTGTGATAAATGTATAGTATTTACAAAATACTGTGTCTACACATGCACACACACACACATAAAGACACACACACACACACACACAGTTTGTGACTAGACCTAGAGAGCCATTAACTGTCCTCACTATAGTGTACTGTGTCCATCACCATGCAAGAAACTTATTATGAGTCATGTTCTGGCTCAACCCTTGTGAGAGATTGTCACATTAAATTTGCTTCTGTGAAGCCTCAATTTTGACTGAAAATTAAATATAATTCTGTAAACTTATTATGTAGACTCAATTCATGCATAATGTGTGTAAATCTCTTCAAAGCTTCAAATTTAAAATGACAAAAATTTCATGGGAAAACCCAAATTTTAAGAAAAAGTATTTTCAGCAATATATGATCATAAAATGCTTGCAACATATAATTAACAGTAACAGCAGCTTCAAAATGCAATGTATATTTCCAACTGCTGTTTACAAATTTTTGACCTGTCGTTCTTTGCCGTTGATCTTCAGGTCCTGGCGGTAAATGTTGTCTGTTGGGAGTTCGTTATGATGAATGATGGTGCAGCAGGAATGAATGGACCACTTAGACACTTGCCCCTGGCGGTAGTAGGCGAAGACTAGCGTCCCCTCATCTGGATCTCGAGAAACAGTAGGTCCATTGATGTCCACCCACGGGTGACCAAAACAACTGTAGAGATCAGGACCCAAATAAATACACCAATTAATTACCTATTTCTTGATCTATTTGCTTATTCCTGCCTTTTGTTAGATACAAAGTATGACTAATTGCTATAGAGGCAATCAAGAAGACACTTTTATGCAAAATGTGGAACTAGGTACAATATTTCAATCGCAATTTATTGAGTACACTGTATGTGAAATGTGAGATTCTACTCTATAGCACATTTACAAAAATCCATACTGATTTATTTGCTAGTAAAAATTCAATTAAACATGTACATATACAGTGGACCCCCGAGTTTCGTTGGCATCGACTTTCGTGAAATACAACTTTCGGCAAGTTTTTTCAGCAAAATTTAGCCTCGCGGTTCGTGATTGGACTCGTGATTCAGCGACCATCTGGTACCCGTCCGCCCGTCACCACGCACACAAAGCCAGTCTCCCGCACCATTCACACTCAGTTGCCATTGTTTACTAGCACGTGACCATCAACCCGCGGGTTCATACATTTCATAATAATAATCCATTGTTTTTTGTGCTTGCAACTGCTAAATAAGTCACCATGGGCCCAAGGAACGGTAGTGCAAGCCCTTTGGTAAAGAAAGTGAGGAACACAATCGAATTCAAGAAGGAAATCATTGAAAAATATGAGAGTGGAGTGCGTATTACAGAATTTGCCAGGATGTATGGCAAACCCCATTCAACCACTTCGATCATGGCGAAGGGAAAGGAAATAAAGTGTGTTGCTGTTGCAAAAAGGGTAGATATGCTGACAAAAAAGAGATCGCAAATCCTCGAAGTGGAAAGGTTATTGTTAGTGTGGATTACCCAAAAACAGTTAGCAGGAGATAGTATTATGCAATCGATAATATGTGAAAAGGCAAGGCAGTTGCATGACGATCTTGTAAAGAAAATGCCTGCAACAAGTGGTGATGCTTGTGATTTTAAGGCCAGCAAAGGTTGGTTTGAGAGATTTAAGAAGCGTAGTGGCATTCACAGTGTGATAAGGCATGGTGAGGCTGCCAGTTCTGACAAAAAAAGCAGCTGAGAAGTTTGTACAGGAGTTTAAGGAGTGCACAGACACTGGAGAATTCAAACCTCAACAAGTGTTTAACCCTTTGACTGTCGCAGGTCCCTTTCTGAAACTGTCGTTCTATGTCGATAAATTTTTGGAAAAAAAAAAAAAAAAATATTTTTCTTATGAAATGATAGAGAATCTTTTCCCGATAGTAATGACACCAAAAGTACGAAATTTGGTCGAAAACTCACGGAATTACGCTCCCGTGAAGTTAGCGGTCTCGGCGACATATACGCAGCGGCGATTTTGCCAACTTTGAGCCTTGTTTTTGGCCAATTCCGTTGTTCCAGTTGACCAAACTCATAGCTATTTCTTTAGAACTCCATTTTTTCTATCTGTTGAGTACAAGAAACTGCCCATTTACCGATTTGAACTACCCAGTAAAGTGGTCAGAAATTGGCAATTTGTACAATTTCACGCAAATTAAAAAAGATGCCAATTTCAAAACAGGGTCCAGAATAAACAATGTAGACATTCTTGGCACTAAAATAACATATCCTCTGTTCATTAGTCACATTTCTAGGCCCTTCTTATATTACTATTGCTTTCTCTTTTGATTTTTTATTCATACAAAACATACAAAAATTTACTGTTATGCAGACTACTGCATTATTGTAAAAATGGTATAAGCAATCAGTGCAATAGTGAAAGAATATCAGACTCCCCAGTTGAAGTGTATTGGATGTGTGGTGTGATTTCCTTACTCCTGAACATTGGTAAAAATTGAACATTTCCGCTACTTAGAACTCAATTTCAAAGTCGTTTTCATCGTGAAAGTAATCAAAATCATCTCTATTTCTGTAATATGTTTTCCATTTTATCACCTGAGACCATGAAAACGAGAATACAACGATAAATACTATACGAAAATACACCTCAAATTCGGCGTTTTAATCCAAAAAAAACGGTCAGTTTTTTTTTCATTATGCACTACATGCTGCAGGATTTTTTTTATGTGGTGCACACTGATCACACAGACCCATTCTCTCACATGCGGGCCTACCAGCTTTCTCCCGCTTGATTTGAAGCCGCTAGAATTTACGCGTATGAATATGTCAGAAACAGTGGTGCGTAAGACGTATATATACGACCGAAACAGTCAAAGGGTTAATCGTGACAAAACAGGCCTCTTTTGGAAGAAAATGCCAAAGAGGACCCACATCATGCAGGAGGAAACGGCACTCCCAGGACACAAGCCTATGAAGGATAGGCTTACTCTCATGTTTTGTAGTAATGCTAGTAGGGATTGCAAAGTGAAGCCTTTACTGGTGTATCACTCTGAAAATCCCAGTGTGTTCAAGAAAAACAGTGTTGCCAAGAGTAATTTGTGCATGACGTGGAAGGCTAACAATAAGGCATGGGTCACAGGGGAAATTTTCCTAGACTGGTTTTATGAAGTGTTTGACCCCAGTGCGAAGAAATACCTCCTGGAAAATAAACTGCCACTCAAGTGCCGCCTGGTAATGGACAATGCTCATGCTCATCCTCCAAACTTGGAAGAGCAAATAGTGGAGGAGTTTAGTTTCATCACGGTGAAGTTCTTGCCCCCTAATACAACTCCTTTCCTCCAGCCCATGGACCAGCAGGTCATTTCAAACTTCAAAAAACTGTACACCAAAGTGCTTTGAAGTGACCTCAGACACTGAATTGACCCTAAGAGAGTTCTGGAAAGATCACTTCAATATCCTCACTTGCATAAACCTTATAGGTAAGGCTTGGAAGGGAGTGACTTGCAGAACTTTGAATTCTGCTTGGAGAAAATTGTGGCCAGAATGTGTACAAGAGAGGCATTTTGAAGGGTTTGGGGCTGATCCTAAGGAGCCTATGTCAGTTGTGGAATCTATTGTGGCATTGGGGAAGTCCCTGGGGTTGGAGGTGAGCTGTGAGGATGTGGAAGAGTTGGTGCAGGACCACAGGGAAGAGCTAACCACTGAAGAGCTGCAAGAGCTTCATCTACAACAGCAAGAGATCACAGCTCAGGAAATTACTGCAGAGGAGAAGGAAGAGAGATGGAGGAAGGTGCCTTCTTCAAAGTTTAAGGACATTTGTGCAAAGTGGACTGAAGTGCAAACATTTATGGATGAACTTCACCCTAACAAAGCTGTTGCAGGCCATATTGGCAACATGCACAATGACAGTGTTGTGTCCCACTTCAGACAAATCTTAAAGAAACACCAGAAACAGAGCTCTCTGGACAGATATTTTGTGCAACAGGGGTCCAGTGACTCAAGTTGTTCCAGTGTTTTTAACCCGTAAACAGTCCAAACGTATACATGTACGTGTATATACGTTTTTACGCTAGTGCCCCAAACGTATATATACAGTGGTCCCCCGCTTTTCCTAGTTCCTGGCAATTGTAAAATTCGCCAATCATAGGGATATTTTTGTATAAACATGGACTCGCTTTTCATAGGTTGACTCGCGAGTCGTAATTTGTCCGGGACGCGTACGCACGGAGTGAGCCAGGGCGGCAGCCAGTCTGGCATTGTTTACGACTGAGCGAAGGTCCCCTCGCGTGCTCCAGTGAAATATTTCATAATATTCCATTTATTTTAGTGCTTGCAAGTACTAAATAAGCTACCATGGCTCCAAAGAAAGCTCCTAGTGCCAAGCTTGTGGTAAAGAAGGTGAGAAATACGACTGAATTTAAGAAAACCATCATTGAACAATATGAAAGTGGTACAAGTGTGGCCGAACTGTCCAGGATGTATAAGAAACCCTACACAGCCTTATGTTCCATAGTGGCCAAGAAAAATGAAATAAAGGATGCTGTTGTTGCAAAGGGAGTAACTATGCTGACAAAAATGAGATCACCAGTACTGGAAGAGGTTGAGAAGTTATTATTGGTGTGGATAAATGAGAAACAATTATTTTATTTGTGAAAAGGCTAGGCAGTTGCATGAAGATTTGGTAAAGAAATTGCCTGCAAATAGTGGTGATGTGAGTGAATTTAAGGCCAGCAAAGGCTGGTTTGAGAGATTTAAGAACAGTACTGGATTATACAGCGTGGTAAGGCATGGTGAGGCTGCCAGTTCGGACCACAAGGCAGCTGAAAAATATGTGCATGAATTCCAGGAGTACATAGAGGCTGAAGGACTGAAACCTGAACAAGTGTTCAATTGTGACGAAACAGGCCTCTTTTGGAAGAAAATGCCAAAGAGGACCTTCATTACACAAGAGGAAAAGGCAATGCCAGGACATAAGCCTATGAAAGACAGGCTGACGCTAATGTTCTGAGCTAATGCTAGTGGGGATTTCAAAGTGAAGCCATTACTAGTGTACCATTCTGAAAATCCCAGAGTGTTCAGGAAAAACAATGTTATGAAGAGTAAATTGTGTGTGTTTTGGAAATCTAATAGTAAGGCATGGGTCACGAGGGAAATTTTCGTCGAGTGGTTCAATGAAGTGTTTGGCCCTAGTGTGAAGGAGTATCTCCTGGAAAAGAAATTGGATCTCAAGTGCATGCTAGTAATGGACAATGCACCTGCTCATCCTCCAAACTTGGATGACCTAATTTTTGAGGAGTTTGGGTTCATCACAGTTAAGTTCTTGCCCCCGAATACCACTCCTCTCCTCCAACCCATGGACCAGCAGGTTATTGCAAACTTTAAAAAACTCTACACAAAAGCAATGTTTCACAGGTGCTTGACTGTGACCACAGGCACTCACTTGACCCTAAGGAATTTTGGAGAGAACACTTCAGCATCCTCCACTGCATAACCCTTATAGGTATGGCTTGGGAGGGAGTGACTACCAGGACTTTGAACTCTGCCTGGAGAAAATTGTGGCCAGATTGTGTCGACAAGAGGGATTTTGAAGGATTTGGGACTGACCCTAATGAGCCTATGTCTGTTGTAAAATCAATTGTGGCACTGGGGATTCCATGGGTTGGATGTGAGTTTGGGGATGTGGAAGAATTGGTGGAAGAC